GACCTGAATTTCATTAGTGGGATGCCAATGTTCCATTGCTATTGTGGAGAAAAAAACAAGCAAAACACAACATTTGAGGCTATACTTAAAAATTGTGTTATAGATCTGAAACATAACAGTGATTAAAAAAAAAAGGAAACACAAATCTATAATGATTCAGGCTGAAGAAACATTGAGAAAGAACAAGGCAAAATAACATGCAAATGGAGTTAAAAATGTGGTTCCAGGCTGAGATCATAATCATGCTCGGTCTTTGAGCCTAAGGCCATCTTTAAACAAATATCATTTCCATATATGTCTGGTATGTATTTCAAAATATTACCATCTTTGCTGTATTCTGAATGATGGGAAAAGGAAGGGTGTTTCAAACAGAGGAGTTAACTAAAAAATTAAGAATATTTCTAAATATAGATACATATATATAATGACCTAAATGTCAGAAGCAACATAGCAACTTACTTTTTCAAGAAATTAGCAAAACCAAACCAAAAATTTTTATTTGATCTAAAGCACTGGAGAAATTTGGGGCTTTGGGTCATAGGCTGCAAAAATGTTAGAAAGTATTTTTAAAAAAATGCACAGTGCTTAGCTTTGAATGGCACATTTGTTTTATAAGTTTAAACTACTTAAAGTAATGACATATATATATATATATATATATATATATAGTTCTGAGGGGACTGATAGCTGCCTTCCTCAGAAAGTGTTCTTCCTTTTTGACATGTATAGTTCCTTTTTGACATATATGCTGGAAATAAAGAAGATATTCTTGATCTCCTGGGGTTTCAGTTTGAAATACCAAATAATTTTTTTTACTGTCACTGTTGTCCTGTTTTATTTTAGCCTTCAAAATACTGAAGCAATATGGCACAAAGAAATATTTTCAGATATCCTTGTTTATAAGGCTAATAAATGTTTATCTGTGTTTTTAGAAGTAATGTTCTCATCTGCACAGGTGTTAAATGCATGTTATTAAGTGTTGAGATTTCTGTTTGAATGTAGCTTGAGGTTTTGCTGTGATCTTTCTGCCAAATTCTGTTTCAACTTTAACAAATGAATACAGCTCAAGTAATTCAATGTGCAGAATGACTCACAGTGTTGTAAAACTGCTTATGGTGACCTGATCTGAATTAATTTTAGAAAAATCCCACTCTGCCTGTTGCAGCATAGCCATTTACCGTCTTGTCAGCCCAGAGAGATTTTGCCCTGAGGACAAATAGTGTTTTTGCAACTGAACAGGTGAAGATAGTTTGACCCTTTTCTTTGTAAGCAAATCCATTTGCTGGTTGGATAAAAAGGAGGCAGGTTGTACAGATTTGGTAATGATACAATTTTAATGTAAGGAAAGTTCATGCTGGTTTTTGTGGTAAAATAATCAGGAGGCCTGTCAGTACGATACTTGAAACCACTCAACGAATGCATTGTAAAAACACAGCACAAGCCACATGAAGGCTTGTGTACACTCCTCCCAGACTACAAGCTCCCATTTACTTCCAAGATTAGTTGCTGAAGGGAATATGTCTATACAAACAACACATTTCTGGTCCCTTTTCTTTTAATAGGAAGATGTGATCACTGGATAAAATAACAGTCATTGAAAGGTATGAGAGTAGTTCAGTATATTTAGTAAAGTAGGATCTTCTGAATACACTGTTGTAATCTTCCTATATCAGCTGGTTTTGTGAAGAGTCATCACTAACTAAAAATCTGTCTGAAAAGCTGCTTGTTTTATGTTTTGAGTATAAGGTGGAAATAAAAAGAGTCAAACACAAGGCAAATAAATATACTGACATATATTTCATCCTTTTTCACTGTCCCCAGTGTAGCTGGTGAATACAATATTTTTTTTTATTCTTTTGATTCCTGCTCATTGAGTAAACTCATTATTTACAAGAAACAAATCTTTTAAAAAGAGTTTTCATTTTAGCAAATTCTTTATTTGATCTAAAGATGTCAACTTAGACATTTGGACACATAAGCTTCCTCCAGACCTTGACCCATTTGAGCTTTGCTACTTCATGCTTTTGCTTTCAGGTAGTTAGAAGCTGACTATTTGGATTCATTTAGAAGGATCAAAATCAGTTACTTATCTGTAATTATCTATCTTAAAACTTTTTGAGTTATTCTTTTTTCTATTACTGTCTTTGGCTTTTTTCTGGTCCTAAAATGTCACTTAATTGGCAGGACTCCTCAGAAATAACCACCAGCGGTTCAGAGGTTATTTTGGCTATTTTCTCAAATAATGTAGATTGAATTCCCAAGGCCCTGATGATTTGGAAGCACCCATTTTATCTCAGTATTTTTCATTTTCCTCACATTCTGTTCAGCAAAAGTTGTACTGTCAAATGCCTGGTTGCAAACTTTATTGGGGAAGTTGAATATAGGAGGCCAAATCCTCCATTGTGAGAAGTGTCCTTTTAAATAAAACCGAAAGTACACTGCACAAAGGTATTGCTCACAAGAATATTTATTTTACTTGTTTGTTTCATGAAACACAAAAGATTTTTTCTGAAACCATAGAAACATCCAAAAATACGGTGATGTGACTACTAGTACAGCATGCTGTGATAAGAAAACGTTTTCTTTAATTTAAAAAAGACGAGAACGGCAGACGAGCTGAGGGTTTGTTCCCCCCACACCCGGCGGGTCCTGCCGGGCCGGGCTCTGCACTCAGCACCCACCGCTGCCGAAGGACAGGGCCAGTGACGAGGCCCGCATTTCCCGCAGCGCTTTCTGTACATTCATGAGGAAATCCCACTGAACCTTCCCTCCACAAAGTTACTGCGGGTCGGGGATGATGCCCGCTGAGGGAGCCGCCTAACATTCCCACCTTCACCCGAGGATCTGGGTGTTTCCCGGCCCCACGGAGACCGCAGCACCGGGGCGCTCACGCTCCGCCGCTCGCGGCCTCCGGGGCGCGCGCCCTCCCACAATCCCGTACGGGGAGGCCGTCTGCACCGCAGGAAACAGGTGGGAGGAGGGCAGGGCGAACCTCTCCTGCCAAGTCCTCATGTGCATTGCCGCACTATCTGTATGCGAGCCGCTGCTCCCCCTGCGCCTCGCCGATAACTTTTTTTGCCGGGCTTCCCGCCGCCCGCCGCCACCGAGGGACCACGCAGGGTGGTGGTGGGCTTAGGGTGGCAAACTTTCTGCCCAGATGGGCGAGGGTGGCATCTTCGTCCTTCCTTTATCTTCACCCTCACGGCTGCAGCACCATCTTCCCTCGGGCGCGCCACACTGAGCGGAGGGCGGTGCGGCGGAGACCTGCGCTCGTTCCGGCAGCGGGCGCCGCTCCGTTTCGGTCCGCCCCGCACCGGAGAGAGGGCGGCAGGCTCCGGCGGGCTCTGCTGCTGCTGCCGCCACCGCCGCCCCCGTCACAGGAGGAGAAGGATGGAGCCGGGCAAAGAGCCCCGAGTGACCACGGGGGAGAAGCCCAGCGAAGCAGAGCCGGCGGTTTCCTTCCAGGCCCGGCTGTGGAAGAACCTGCAGCTGGGGGGCAGGGGCCGGAGCGGCGGCGGGCCGGCAGCAGCCGAGCGCCGCACTGCGGAGCCCCTCGCTCCGCCGCCGCCGGCCGGCAGCAAGGGGGACCTCCAGCCCGGTGGCAAGTGGAGCGGCTTCAAGCGACGGCGGCACGTGCTAGACCGCGTCTTTTCGTCCTCCCAGCCCAACCTATGCTGCTCTGCCGCCGAGCCGCTGGAGCCGGCCGGCGAGTCCGGCTCCGCCCTGCGTCGCCTGCGGGAGCACCTGCTTCCCCAAGGCAAGGGGCCGCCGCCCGGCCGCCGCTCGGAGCCCGCCGCCGGCTGTGAGGGGCCGGCGGGTGGCAGGGAGGGGCGCCGGCCCGGGGCGCACCTGTCCCACCAGAAGAGCTCCTCGCTGCCCAGCACCGCCTGCCTGGAGCAGCTGCTGCAGGGCTCGCCCGCCGCCGGCAACATCCAGGACCAGCGGACGGAGGACGGCGACAGCAGCGCGGTGAGGGCCGGCCCGCATCGCGTCTCTGCCTACAGTGTCGGGTGGGGAGGTTGAGCGGGAGGGCTGGTAATCCCAGGAGAGAGGAAAGGAGGTGGGAAGGGAACTGAGGTAAGGAGAGGCGGGAGGGCGACCGCTGGGGAAGGGAGCTGAGGTGAGGCGGAGGACGGCTGAGTCTCAGCGCTCCTCCCGCTCGCTCGCTCGCTGTTGAAGAGTGCCCTTCGCCTAAGGAGGGAACGGCTCGGGTCCCGCCCGCATCCCGCCAGCCCTGCATTCCCCCAGCACGCCGTGACAGGCGGTGTCGCGGGCCTGAGCCGTGGGAGCACCGCTGCCAGACTGCTCCTGCTCCGCTGCAGGAGCGACCTCCCTCAAACCTCCATTGTATAAACCATGCAGAGGAAAGGTGTCTCGGAGGCTGGAGTTAGGCTTCTATCGCTCTCACGCCTCGCAGCCCTATGAGAGCCGTCTCTGCTGGTGTCTGCTCTTAACGCATGCAGCACGGCTTTTCCTCAGGTGACCTCGGCTTTTTTCCTTGTTTGGTTATGCAGATTTTAATTACTGTGTCTTTTGATTTCTACAAGACACACAAACGACAACCACTAGTACACATTTACTAGATTGTAGGTAATTATTGGCTGGGTACTGTCTCATGCAGCTGTCAGTTCAGTCTATGAGACTCGTTCTGGCTGTTGGGAGAAGGCAGTAAACAAAGCCATAACTCTTCCAACTGTCAGTTTTTAAATTGCCTGGTGAAGCTACTGTTGAAAGGGACTGCTGAATCTTGGAGTACATTTACTGCAAGAAAAGTGCAAAACATATGAGTATTTTTGGATCTTGTGTAATCCTAAGCAGTCATCCACCTTTCTCAGGAATAACTGACTGATGCATATTATTATAAATTGTCTTAGGTCATAATCAGGGAGAAATGAGTAGCTGAAGTAAAAGACATGCTCTGTGTGTTGTCAAAAACAGTCTGTGTAAATGCATTTGGCTGCTGCCAGAGCACTACCTATGCTAAAGAAGAATGACAGTACTTCTGCAGCTATTTGCAAGTGTACCTTAAGGTCAGTGGTACTTTAATCTTCCTCTGCAGAATTCAAAGGAGTTCGTCTTCACAAATATGGGACCTAGACTTAACTTTATGTCATGGGGTTGCTTTGCTTGTAATCACTGGCCTGACGGAAACTACTGTGGTTATCTCTTGTATAGTACTTGTTTAGATCATTGCTTATTGAGGTGGGATTATTGTGACAGGTGTCTATAAAGTGGGCATTTCCCTGCAGTAGTGAATCCCTTCTTCCCCAAACCGCTGACTCACAAGAATGTATTGCATATTTTGAATATTTCAGTACTACTGTTTACGACAACAGGACATTATTCTGCTTTAAAGACTGCTGCATCTAGCAATATGAAAATGTGTGACTTTCTTCAGTGTTGTTCTGCTGTTATGTTTAGTAAAGAATTGTAAACGTTTGTTTACAAAACATGTCAAATGCTTTTTAGTTGTGAGGGCATTACTCTTCTTTAGAACAAGGTACAGTCATAGCATTTGGAAAGAATACTGCTAAATCAAATCACATTAGGCTTTCTAACACTTATTTTAAATTAGCAGGATTATGACCAATTCCTCCAAGTGTTTTCTAGTATTAATTTAGGCTGTGCCTGGACACCAGACTTGCTGGTTTTGATAATAAAAGACCTTGCTTGTGGGTTGATGAAGTTTGCAGAGCTGCTGATGGTGTTTGTTTCAGAGGGATGATCTGAAACAGAATAGCTTTTCTGCTATTTTATAATAAGCACATTCACTGCTTTTCTCAACTCTAAAGTATAATCTTACTTGGGTTATTAAATCTAGTTTAATTCACCAGCTTCATTGAGTTATAGGATATTTGGGGAAGTAAGACTCCAACTATAAAGCATTGTTGATCGTTTTCAAGTATGCCTGGTACGCTTCAGTGATGTGTTAACAAAGCAAGGACCTTCCACTATGAGCAGCTGGAGTTTCCATTTCAGTGTACCTCAGGAGTCAAGTTTTGCATGCTTACAGGCTGCACCCCATGGCCTAACCTCAGTCACGGCCTTTACACCCTTCTGAGGATTTGGGATTACACATCTGGTAGCATGAGTTTGGAATAATTTGCATTTTTCAAATCCAAGTTTTACTTACAGCACGTGCTGCTTTTAACAACTGCAGGGAACCAACCTCCAAGCAAGTTGTTTCCTTTCCCTCTGTGCCTTCTGACACTGGAGAGATAGTAAGAGATTATGAGTTAAACAAACAATTTACTAAAATCACAATAACCACAGCAATATCAGTAGTGAGAAAAGTATATAAAAAGAGAGTGTCCCACCCACGAAAGGGCATTTATCACTGGGAACAAAAGAAAAAGTACTTCCCAAAGACAGTGCCTGTTATGTACTCAGACAAAGGCAATATGGCCGTGAGAGCTCTGGTGGCTTAATGTTCTCATCCCTCCAGCCCAGTCTCAGTAGGGCAAGCAAACCCCTCTGAATTTTGCACCATGCTGCCACCTCAGACCGCTCCAATATGTTCTGCACAGCCTTCTCTGGCCCTGTCACCACTCACTCCGCTCTGCTGGGGCTTGGGCTCTGAATGGCTCAGCTGAGCTTGTGCCCCTTCTCTCTCTCTTTTCTAATATTCCCCGGAGCAGTTGTCTTGGACTCGCATTGCTGTCCTTCAGCACCACATCCTAAAGCCAGAGCTCAGAGGAACAGGAAAAGGACTGACAATGGTGGAGAGGGGCTGAGTCCACTTGTCTTATCCCAATACTTCTCCCTGGAGAGAGCCAGACAAGATGGTGCAGTTCCCTTCCTGCTCCTTGACTTTTCCTGCTGGGACCACAGTGATGATATGTGTGGTATGGAATAAACAGCATTAAAAGCTCCATTCCATTTTTTATGGAGCCAGGACACAGCAGCGCAGACATACAGCAGTGTCTGGATTTTCATTGTCTTTCATTGCAGCCTTACATGCTCAAAGATTAAAAAAAAGTATATCAGAATCATTAAAATTAGATTAAATACCTAAAAGTAAATCAACATAAAATTGCAACTTCTTTTAAAACATATGTAAATTTTATTGAAATAGAGAGCTACTGCCTCATTTGGATCAAGACTGTTGAATTTTTTAGCAAATCTGCACACAAAAAGATCTACTACATAAGGGAGATGGTGGAGAAAATAAAATCCCACAATAAGTCAAATATTTTTGTGCTTTTAAGCTGAAATAATACAGTTGTCATCAGTGAGAGGGAGCATGAGTTAGTGGGTGGGAAGACTTACAATCAAAAATGTTATCATGAAACGTACATATATTTAGCATAATCAAGCAATTTAAATTTAATTTGCACTTATTAAAATGTGTATAGCACTATTGCACTGGGCATGGACAGTCTAGCAGAGACCTAGTTTTTTCAGTATTGAATAAAGTTTCTGTTGCATTGAATAGGATTAGTATCTTGGTTTGAGCAGAATGGCACAAACAGAAGTGTAGTCTTATGCAAACAATACCTATTACATTTGAGTGTAAAATACTAACCTAGTTCTTTGCTGATGACTGAATACTTCTTGGAGCTGTCTGTGAATATTTTTGGAAAGGGCATTTTAAGTATTTATTGGCAGGAAACTTAGGTTTCTTTTAAACATTAACTGAAATGTAAATGTGTGTTTTTAGGACAAAGAAATGAATACATGTGCAATTATACATAATCCTTCTTCCAGTTTCCAAAGACTATGAGACAGGTTTCCTTGGCCAATTCATAACTTTCCACATGACAGCCAGTCACTGCCTTGTAGCTGAGAGCCACGTGTGTGCTGCATCCTTGAAGGACTTAGATGATGGTGATGGAAGCCTCCTGGGGTGTCCCCTGGACAGGAGATGACAACAACACTCCAGGAGCCTCACAATGCTTGCAGAGCCTGAGTGTGCTGCCATGGCCCAAGGCAGCGAGGCAAGGGTTTTTCCACTTGTCCCCTTTAATTTTCCTTTCCGTGCCAGCTGGAGCATAAATTTATCTGACAGTGCCTGTGCCAGCGTGACCTTTTCTTTAATATGAGACATAGCTTTGCATGCGAAGATTTATGTCACTTGTATTTTGTAACAGTAATTTAGTAAAAACCAGGAGGGTGAAAATATCCCTGTTTCTTAAGATTTGCAGTAATATAGATCCTACAGGTGTTTCACTGTCTTAATCAAAGAACATGGATCTGGTCATATGTCCTATTGAATCAAAAGTGGACATGAAGAGGGTTCAGGGTTCTTGGTTGAAAGGATGTCCAGGCTGCAGTCTGACTGTCACAGTGAGAGCTCTTGTGGACACTTCTCTCCAGTGTGTTTTCTTCAAAGATAACAACAAATCTGATAACAACAAATTTTGTAATTTTGTGACTTCTTAAAATATGTCCAGGTTGATCCATTACACCAAAAGAGTGGACAGGTTCTTAACCCCTTCCATCAATGTTTCCAGTTCTGTGAGTGGCTATGTGAATAACTTGGAGGTGTGGAAAAGCACTGGGGTTATTGCAGAGGGAAGATGGGGGCTGGCTAGGGCTGCTGCTCAACCTCTAATTGCTTAGCCATAAGAAAGGAAGTCATTAATTTTGTGACACATGGAGCTATTTGTTTCATTAATTAGCAGGGATTGGGAAACAGTGGTCTAGAATATATAATACAGACTGATGAGAGATGAGATGAGATGAGATGAGATGAGATGAGATGAGATGAGATGAGATGAGGTGAAAACCTGGAGATGCATCCAGATACAGGGTCTTTCCCATTCTTACAAATAAAGATAATTGTTAGTCAATAAAGTTGATTTAAGAGGGTGAACTGTGCGGCACAGGAGGAGGACCTGCAGAAAGAAGGAGAGTTTAGTGAGCTGGGTTGTATGAGGAGATGTTGCTTTCTCAGGGCAAAGAGCATTGGCTTTTATTGGGATGCTGGGAAAGAGAAAGGAGTACAGATTGAGCTGGGAAAAAGCCTGAAGAGAAGAGAAGGGAATTTGAATTTAGTGTGGAGTGGGACGCAGAGCCAATGAAGACCAGACTGGCATACCATGCATGTTTCTCTGCCTGTACCAGAATGAATCTATAATTGGTTTAGAGTCTTGTGAGTCAGTGAAGTTACACAAGGGAAAAATTTTGTTTGTTATAATTGGCGTATGTAATTGATCCAGCCAAAGAAGGAAAAAGAACAAGAAAAGACAAAAGCCTGAAATGTCAATGAAAAGCTACATAGATAATGTCACCCAAGAGGATCTTAATTGCTACTTTAATTTCACTGAGAAAGATGAAGGTGGTGAGAAAATTTGAAAACTGCTGACTGTCAAGGATTACTTACCTTTTCCTGACACAATGCTGGTACAAAACAGAAAGAGTTGGAGACAGCTGTTTTGTACGGGTATTTGGAACATTATTTGACAGCAGCATAATTCTGAAAATTGAGAGGGCAATATTTTAGAAAGCAGGAGAACACTTGCTTTTAGGGATGTGGCCACTGACACACAGGGAATGAGTAGATGAAAAAATGTTTAGGCTGGATGAGAAGACCATGGAGCTGGTTAAATTACACAGAAACAGCAACCAAGAGTAAAAAGCTGTTGCTGAAGTTTGTTTCTTGTAAGACAGCTGTTGCAACTGATCAAAGCTATTTGTTTCTCCAAGACTTTAATTGTTAAGGGATATTCTGCATTGCCCAATTTTTCATTATATTAATCTCTAATAAAAGGTTAATCTTTCAGCATTTTGATATGTACTAGTCTGTTTTTTGTACTCTGTCAGCATCTGACCAGACTGTCAGTTTATGGTATTTTAATACAGTGTGTATATATTACTGGAAGAGAAATCAAGATATGGCACAATAGAGTTGTATTTAATTATATCTTGAATGACATCAGATTAATTAACTAAAGATCTGCAGAGTTTTCAAAGTGAGCTACATATTTTTCAGTATTGGCCAGTTTGTATTTATCCTCATGTGTAATATTTAGCTATTTTAAAGTGGCTGTTTACCTATGACCTCATTTAAACTTTATTTCCTTTTCTC